CTTTTTTTCAGCTCTTGTTTAGATAAAAATTCGCCCTATTCTTACTGTGAGCTAACTATCATTTTTAGTTTAAACTTTCATTTTGGAAATTTTTAGTTTAAACTTTTATATATTATGTTGGATTCGTCTTAGAAAGAGCTATCTCCCCATGTCATTTTCATAGCGACATTTTATGTTGAGGTAACCTAGTGTTGCACTGAAATAAAGTTTAACCAACCGAGATACAACAATATTTTATGTGACATTTTTCTTCACTCACTATGAAATTGTCCTACTATAGACTGCAGTCGTCATTTTTATTTCACCAATAAGATTATTTTGTTAGTCCCGAGTGTTTATGTATTTTTTGTTTCATTGTTTCATTTGTTTGATTTCTCCTGTATTCTGGCAGTAACCTCTTAATAATTTCGCGAGTTACATTTACCAACGTTGAAATGTCTGAATTCGATCAAAAATACATTGATCGAACATGTTATGCTTCAATATATATTCAATCATTTATATTTTTATCATGCAGTCTACACATGTGATCAGGAAGTAGGAGAAATATAAACCTATGACGAACTATGAAAAAAGAATCTGCTTATCAAAATATCTGCACGCTCACATTTCGAGTATATTAGTGCCTGATAACATGCTGTTAATTCAGATTTAGATAATCCATTTTTTTAAACAAGGAAGTACTTAATTTATTTGAAAATAAAACGTTTGATTATAGATAGAAGACCATGTTATAATTACCTAAATTGTACATTTCAAAACTATTCATTTTGGAACATTTGATTTATTCATAGATCTTTATGAAAATAATTTGTGCAGGATAAACAAGTCTTTATATCATTAATTAACCAGTTTTGACACAAGATATGAAAAATATCATTTATTTCGTATTTTGTTTATTGTATGCGGACGTTTGTTGCCTTTTGGATTTGTTTGGATGGTGTAGTACAGAATGTGAATGGGTATCGTGGTCACGTTGGTCTGACTGCAGTCTGACATGTGGTGGTGGGCATAGAAATAGACACAGGAGTATTTGTTGCCCATTAAATGAACATTGTTTGAAAGATTGTGGAAAAGATGAGTCTGGATATAGAGAAAACCAAGCATGCAATACCAACTGCTTTAACGATGGAAAATATGATTATAATTTTGGATACTGTAAATGTAGTGATATTTACGAAGGAATATGCTGTGATAAACGTATGTTTTTAAAATGTTTTTTGTCTTCTTTCTTTCATGTAGTTTTTGTATTCTAATTTGCCTTTTGTCTATATATATATTTAATTGACTTATCATTAACTTCTCAAAGAATGTATCATTTAAGGTTTGGAAATTATTGGTTTGTATTGTTTATTTATTGTTACAGTAATGAGATAAGTAAGCAAATAAGTTTGAATTTGAATAGAATTGTGGCTACATGGAGTACAATTACAGTAGTTACATATGGATCATTTTGATTGGGAAATTGAAAACGACGCTAGATGGTGTACAATAATGATTTGGTATGAACTTTTTGGTTTTAATATGAAAACGAGGCAAAAACTTGTACGGGTTTGACTAATAATAATATATATATATATTATATATATATATATATTTATATATATAATATATATATATATTATATATATATATATATATATATCAAGCCCACATCGTGGGTGAAAACGCTGAAAAGTTCATTGCATATATTTTATAACGTGTGACGTAGAAAAGACACCTAAGACTCTAAAAGTTAATTGTATGAAATCTAAATTACTTACGCATACATTAGTTTCACGTGCTTAGTTACTTTTAGTAAAACCAACTAAAGAGGAACCATATGGTGTGAATAGATGCCGTGACGTATGCAATTGGTCACCATGGGGACCTTGGAGTGGATGTAGCGTTTCCTGTGGCGGTGGTGGATTGCAACAAAGAGAAAGACGTTTGTGTTGTTTACAGGAATACGGAGGATTTGAAAGTTGTACAACACAATGTCATATAGAGGACGCCAATTATCTTCAGGAGCGTGTATGTGGAGAAAAGTGTTTAAACAGTGGAACACTAAATCAAGATGGTGTTGGATGCCATTTGCCTTAATAGGACTTTGGTCATTGCTGCGATGGAATGTGAGTTCTGAAAAATATAAATACAACTTCTTAATTACAGTTTCAAATTGGTGAAAGATTCATGCAATTAAATCTGTTTCTGGAAATCAATAATGACTTATGATTTTTCATGTTGTTTCTCTTTTACTGACGCAACAATATGCGGAAAATATCTATATTAACAACACAAAAGAAGACAAACAGATGGAGTGTTTATCCTAAAAAGGTTTTTTTTTATCTGTTGATAATTAATTTCAGTATGTTGGTTTGTTTTTGCAAATTTTTGTAATTATAATTTCTTTTTAATATTTATATAAACCTCTGTTTCCAGTATTACCGGGTTGTACACTTTTCCTTACGGATGTCATATTTGTACTTGATTCTTCTGTCAGTCAAACAGAAAAACAATTCCGTGCACAGCTAGAATTTGTAATAAAATTCGTCGAGAAAGTAAAAATTAGTACAGAGGAATTCCAGATTGCTGTTATAAGAATACTCTACTGAAGCAAAAATAGAAATCACCTTCAACCAGTCGGTTAACAAACATGTCTTGCAAAGCTTAATCGAGAATATAAAGGTTTCGGCCTGGAGCCACATTTACCAATAAAAGGTTAAAATCTGCTATGGAGGTAGCAAGAAAAAGCGAAAGGCGTAAAGGAATGGTGACTTTAACGTATGCATTTGTTCTAACAGATGGTATGTCTAACAGTCGAAAGGAAACAAGAATAGCTGCAAGAGAATTGAGAAATGCTGAGGTTCACGTTGTGGTTATAGGTATAAAAATTTACTGCTGTTCTTGTTACACTTTAACGAACCGCAAAATACCCGCTCATGGTGGTAAAATGTTCTAAGCCGCCAACAGTTTTAACTTTCATATAATTTAGTAAGTTTTGTCTCGCGAGAGTGTGACAGTAAAATGCATATGTAGTTATTGATCCTTTAAGAATTGTCAGCTATTATAATTGCCGGAAACCTAACACTATTAAGTAGCAATACGCTTGGCAATAAGTTCAAATAGGCCATTTTTAATGAAAAACTACCTACGCATTAATTTTGCGTTTTTGCCTACATGGTCTAATCATAGGGATTTATCGCTGCGGGAAATTTGCTTACCAAGTAGACATTTAATAGGCTGACTAAGCATTGTATATGTATTGAAGTGATACCATTTGTAATATTCCTTATCTCTTCTAGACATGTACTTTCAACATAAATTGTAAATAGTAATGTATTGTTACTTATTTACTACACTTTAAATTAGTTGTAATTAAACCCTTGATGAAAGGGAAAGTGGGAAAAACACAATTAAGAATTTGGCGCCCATAGTCTTGTTAAAACCTGGGAAAATGAACAAATGATGTAAGGCAAAAATTTTATTATTTTTAAATTTTGATCAAATTTAATACCCGGGTTCCCAAGATTTTCCGATACCACTTTTTTAAAGGGTTTATTTACAATTTAGGTCGATCTTTTCCCGATGTAAAAGTGTTAAACTGTTAAAAACTTAGGTTTTTTACTGATAACATACATTTTGTTCCTTTTAATCTTCTGACAAAATGTAAAATGACAGGTTAGAACAGTTCCCACCTGTATGAAACTGCATATTGATTTAATAGGTTCTTTTAAATGTTTTACCAATTTAACAAATTAAAAATGGTTAATAAATTGGTAGTTTAATGGAATTTTCGGAAACAGTATGTTTTGGATAAGCTAGTATCAGTATAAATTTGATAAGCGTGTCAGGGAATGTTTAGATCGTGTTTATGACTAATTTTTACCTTTAACAGAGCAAATTTTCAACTTGAAAAAAATTGAATCATAATTTTGCTTTATTCCAGGAAGGGGGAACAGGTTTCTCATCAAGAACTTGCGACATGCTACCCGGGTGATGAATTTAGTCCTCTTACGTATGCTCTGTCGGAGATTTTAATGCATTAGACACGTTGCCTGAAACAACTTGTTACAGGTTACCTGTGACGACTGGTAAATCTGTCAGTCATTTGTCAGACATTGGGTCTTTCTCCTAGAAGAAGGCACGAAATGACCGAAGTGTAGAGTTTCAAAATGTCTTTGGATTTTATGACATGCCATTGTCCAGAGGCCTTGGGCATATTAATGAACATAATGGTCAATAGGTCGGCCTGGTCCCGACGTTGGAAATACGTTGAAGAGGGAAATAGACAATTTCTAGTAGCTTTTCGCAAAAGTAATCTCATATTAAGCAACCCAGACATTGTTCAGACAACCTGTTTGAACTTTGTGACATAGATGAACAATGTTCTGTTAAAAATATCACATCAGCAGTCAACAAAACTATAGACCATTTCTTTAACTTAAATGGACGAAAGCAATGCCCGCAAATTTTTGATCGTTTTGTCAAATGGAAAATTTGAAAACGCTAAGATCGTCAGAGAGGAAATGATAATAAACTATATGAATTATCAGATTTTAAAGTATTCGTGATTGGTCCAGGAAGTGACGTCAACATGAATGGATTATTATCAATGGCTAAAGAGGCAAATCACGTGTAATAATCGTGCTTGACAAATGATGATGTTTCAAAAGCTAGATATATTATACAATCCGAGTTTTCTTACAATTGTTTGTAAGTAGGTGGGATTTTGAATTTGTGAGGTGCTGAAAACTGTGGGTGTTTTGATTCTGAAATATTTCACTAGTAACGCATCATTTTGTAAACTTTATTCCCATGTATACAAAAACTGATTATATACAAATAAAAGTATTGTAACTATTTTCTATTTTTTGTTGATGATTGTCTTCGTTTTGTACTTTTCTATCATATGAAATTGTCTAATCGCCGTGCAAATGAAGATGATTTTTGTTCTAGAGCAAGTTTTCTTGAAAACGGCAGCTGTCTCCCTTTTAAATGGAAACATGCAGCAAATCAAAAACAAAAAAATACACATTTATTGTGATTTCCCTTCTATAAACCGTATCACACTATAACGGATAAAAAGACATTACAAAAGTTTAATGATAAAATATGAATGCATGCTCTTAACACAAGATTTGTTAGAATAGCCACCCAATTTAACATAACGGACGTTTGCTTGAGCCGATTAGTTACATAATTTATTTACACGCGGCAAATGTCAAGAAACATTACTTAATTTAAATAACCTAGTACCATTTCTCAAAGACATGCATACCTTTGTATTTTCAATGACAAAATTACAAAAAGAGTACATAGTTTCATAATATTTTTTTTTAATCATGCAAAGGTATTTCACAATTATTACTTCCATATTGCTTTTTTAAATAGTGTCAAAAGTGACATGGCTTTCTCTTTTTAAATTTTCTAAATTTTTGGTTTGTTTCTATATATTTAAAAGAACGACCCCTTTTTTTATAGCTTGAAAATTTTTTAAATTTCTTTTAATTTTAGTTTTCTGTTTTATAAATTTTTTTTTTAATTTCATTTTTGTCAAAAAGGGTTGCTTCCATTTAAATCTAAATAAAAAAAATTTAAATTCAAAATATCCCCAAAACCCTTGGGGAAAAAAAACACCCCCTTAAAGGAAAAAATTTTCCCCCCCGTTCCCCCACAACATCCGTGAATAAAATTTACCGTTAAATTTTTTAAAGTTTAAATTAAATTGGGCATTTTTTTTACATTTAAATTTTCCCCTTTCATTAAAATAAAATTTTTTTTTAAAGGGAACTTTTTTCCCCTTTTTTACAGGGCAATTTGTATTCTTACCAAATTTTCTAAACTCATAATTAAAAAATTTGAATATATTTTTCCCTTAAATTTTGGGAAAGATATTATAATTATACATTATACAGAATGTCAAAATTGAAAGGCATGGTCGCTGAATTGATTTAAAATTACAAATACCGAAACTATTTGTTAATTTCGAATTGTTTTTTTACCACAATGTTAAATAATTATCAAAGCTAGCACCATTGTAATTATAGCAAGCGGTAAAAACGCCTTTCCCCATTTCACTACAGAGCGATGTTTGCTATTCTAGGGGAGGTTGCTTTACACATGTCTATTAATTTATTACCATATGTGTTACTCCCTTATCCATATATGACACGATAGTGCCATTCCATGATAAGCGGCGTAAGGTCACCAATAAAAAGAATCCGTATTCCCTAAGCGCGGAATAAAGAAAATCGAACTTTAAAAAGGGGATTCAGATTTTATTGGCCCCGGAAATTCTTATTAACTCTTTTTTGCTTGAATCCTGATTCAGTTAAGAAGGGTGAAGAATGATGAATGTAATTTCTAGTGTTAAAAAGGCAGAATAAAGGGTTTTGTCTGTTGTTTTTTGCTTAAGAAACTAGCCCAAATTATAGTCAATGCCCATATCTGCGTTTTCCCAAGGCATTTGGGTTAACTACTTTTCTATTAAGTTTACATTAGAGTTTGTCATAGGACAATTTGTGTTATAATTCGTGTCCCTTTTAATTTGTTTGGTTTAGATTTAAATACTTTCCCCTTGTTTGGGAGGATATTAAGTTTGGCATACAATACATCCATTAATAAATTTAATAAAATTAAAATAATGTTAATTGAGCATTGGTTATTGGCATGTAAGTTAAACGAATTTTTGAATTTAAATTTGATTAAATTAAATTTTTATAAAAATTTTAAAAAACTGTTTTTTCCTAGAAAATTTTTTTTTGTGGGTATTGTGTAAAAGCTATTGTGAGATGAAAGTGGGGCATATGTTATTTTTTTAAAATTGTTTGTAATAAATTTTTACAAAAAATAATTTTTAAAACGAAAACTTCTTAGTGTAAATTGGGGAATTCCAAGAGACAAACAGTAGAAATCATCGTAAATAAAGTTTGCCAAAATTTATCAATTTTTAAAAAAGTTTATAAAAATTCAATGTGTCAGCTTTTTAAAAGCTAATTTTGGGTGTTTTGAAAAGAAAAATAAGGGCCCCCTCTTAGCTAATAAGACAGTTGGAACGAATGTTTTATCTAAATGACCATTTAACCTGTAAAGAGCCCGGATTT